GTTCGCATTCTGGGACAGATTTTCAGCATATTTGATGCTTGGGGTATTTGTCGTCGGTGCTTTGAGCGCTGGCGCTGGAGTTTGTTTCGAGTCACGTATATGCAGTATTCGTATTGAAGGTGTAGGATTACCCCGGCGTCAGGAGTTTAGCAAAATCTGCTTCTGATGAAAAATTCTAATCAAAATCTCAGATTCTTAGGAATGGGTTGGAATCGGTGAGCCGTGCCAAGGAGATCATACTCGCCAACGTTTCTGCTACCATTTGGCCGCGCAGTGAATAATAACAGCAAAGAAGGGGGTAAGGCTGCGTTCATACTTTGCGGCAGCGTCCACTAGCGTTCGAGCGTCCGGCAGCGTCAGCGACTGGGAAAGTATAGATATCGATCTAGCGTCTGCCAGCGTCTGCCAGCGTCCACCAGCGTCTCGAGGGCTAGGGAAGTATAGGTATCAATTTAGCGTCTGCCAGCGTCTACCAGTGTGTGCCAGCGTCACCAGCGTCTACCGGCGTCAAAGAGTATAGAGAGTATGGCTAGATAGGAGAGTAGCAGAAAGCTGATACACTATGGAGAGATAGGAGGGTAGCTGGTACCCTCCAATCGCGTCATATTCCACCAGCTGTCTGCTACCTCCTACTGCGCCATACCCTCCTCTCCCGGACGTTGGCTCGCTGGTGACGCTGTCGTTCGCTTAATCAGTACCTATACTTTCTTAGTCGCTGCCGGATGCTCAAAACGCTAGTGGACGCTGCCTCAAAGTATGAACGCAGCCTAAGCTTTCAGCACTGGTAGCTGTGGGATGCCCGAGACATTCTACTACTACTCAAAACTGAAATAGTTTCTTAAACCTATCTGCCCTCGAATGCGGGGCCAAACAGTGAACAGGACAATGTCTTTATCTACTAAGACAAGTGTGTTATCAAACAGTCGGTTCCAGAATAATGGGAGGCTTGGCTGACTCGACCTTCGTTGTGATCCACTCACTCCCAGCTCTCACCCCTGGTATACTCAAATCTCTGACATGAGGTAGGTGTGGCTGCGTACTTAAATTGAACCTTGCTAGCTTTTCATGAGATATTTTCATATTGCGACAGTTGTAATCATTTCTTTGTATAGTACAGAACAAGATTTCTTTCTTCTGTTTTATGTGCACTGGTATGCCAATCGTTGTTGTGGTTTTTGTTTTCTCACGTGGGCTCATGCCTGCGTCAATAAATAGAATAGAATGACAGATGTCTCAAATTGAAATATTCCACGAGTAGCCCATCCTATGCCATGTTCAAATGCCACGCCTACTCCGTCTTGTGGGTAGGAATGTGAGCGTCATTTTTCTCTTTCGCTGCCATTTCCACTCCAAAGCGAATAATATTTCTGATAGTCCACGCTCTGAGACATGTTCACTGGTCGTGCAATGATTTTATCCCGTTTCACGTCATGCAATACAGCAATACTATGATCAATGTACAGATTATTGTTTTTAACAATGAATTCTTATATATCTTCATGCAGATGCCTGCATTCGCTGCTCGATAGCGGCTGTCGTCTGATGTTGAAAGAATTTCGTGAGATAAATTGATTCCATCAAACTTATAACCAATTTTTCACTGAAAAAGTGTAACATTAGTTACTGTATTTATAAGGTTCTTGAGAGGAAAACTGAAATAAAATCCTTTACCTTGATTTGTGGTGATCATCCAGTTTTGGAAGAAATTCTACGATTTCTGTGGCGAGAAGTTTCGAAAGGTCCAATGTGAGTACTGCTCGAAGGAATTCACTGGCTATGATACCATTTTCAGCTGGAGTGCCAACGGCTGGAGCGTCAGCCACATCGAACCCATCGATGTCAATTGACATTCCGAATCCAATTGTGTTTCTGCAAGAACGTTTACACTTTTTCTGCGAATGACTAGGGTTCTCTAGTCACACAGTAACGTGACTTTTCAAAATGTACTGTTGTAACATTTCGTCACATAGCTGTGCCTTTAAATGTCATCCATGAAAACCGGTTCATAGCAGACTGTGACTATTGTGGCTATGACTAACCTGGTAACCATGTAAAGAGCTTCCTGCATCACCTCAGCGATACCTCGTCGCTCCACCTCATCCATATAGAAAATCCGTACACCAAGACCTTCGAGAAGCTCCTGAAAAGCTTCTTTGAATACCTTTTATAAATTACTTTTACTTTCTGTCTCTGTTTTCTGATAAATACATGTCGTTGAAAGGCAGAGAGCAACTACTGTAATAATGGCATTGAAGAACTAGGACGGAAAGAAAGAATACGGACGCCTATACTGTAAACACAACAAAAAACTTCTCTTCAAAAATTATTAATTTGCAGAAACGGTAACACAAACCTGTTCTCCATTTTCATAACTTCGGATGCCGACCATGCACATATTGTGAGGAAGGATTTTTGGCAAACGGTCACCAATTCGGACCAAATTTTTGTCGCCGTAACCGAGCAAATGGGCTACCGGCATCCCATGGATATTGCCTGATGGTGTTGACGATGGTGTGTGGGCATCCTAAATAGGAAATGTACTTGACTGCGAAGATAAAGAGAGGAACTCGCACCAGGCGCAATAATTACACTACAAGGTGAAAGAGTTATCCTACGAGGATTGACGGCTTAATTGTTCAATGATCTTTTTCCAGTTTTGGGCTAGTACTGGGGCGCCAACGGGCCTGGCAATCTCCACATATTTCTAATACTTAGAGATACTTAGAGATTATCTGACAGTTAAACTAGTACCATATACACGTGATCCGGACCGCAGTCCCAGAGGCTGCCCTACTGTTGCGGCTTGGTAGTGAGTAAAGAGGACACGGCGGTCATCATAAGCCGAAAGATGCCTCAGTGACCTTGCAGCGGAATATACCAGTGGTCCTATGCCTATGATGGCAGGTGTAACGTGTTGGATTCCCTCTGCGTGGGACCGTCCTTTATGTCGTAATTGACTTGTTTCCCTTTTCTCTCAACTTTTGTCTGTGGTATCTCGCCCGAGCAACAGTGTCTCGTTTTTTTCGAGTACTCACCCAGGGCCTTATTCAGAGCGTCATTGACGGTCTCGCCTTGTCTTTTCTCTGCCGGTGAGTCATAAAGCATCTATGATCGTGTCTGAACCCAGAAGCCCTGGAAGTGGTGTAAGTGTGATTGAGGACTGTGTACTTGAAGACAATTCCGCGATCAAGTGTTACGGGTAGTAGGTGCTCAGTCATGAACCAGTAGCCCATAAGTAGCACTTCAAGAAAGAAGCAAAAAAACCCTTTAGAACACTCTGAACAGAGACCCCCTTAGCAGTGGGCGCCTTGGACGAGTTTGTCGGACGTCGGCAAGCCCAATCAGCAGGATTCGACGTGCAACCAGTTCCCGGCAAGAGCACAGGAAATCACCCTACGACGCTCCAGGCAACGCTATGTACACACGCAATTCCGCTTGTAAGCCGTTGTCTTGTAGAGTGAAAGTAATTGTGGTTGCAATAATCACACAACTGTGGCTTTTTTATCTCACCGTTTCGAGTGGCGAAAGTGGTACATTTTCTGCGAATGCGGACAACGATGCCAAATGCACGGAGGTATTTCGCGGACCACTTGATTGCGGTGAGTGTCTTTAGGAGATCGCGGTCTTATTGCAACACATAAAGATGCGGCGTGAGCCACTTACAAGCAGAAAGAACTTACTCGCATCCGATAATATCGCTTTAGTTACTATCCTAATTAGCTCTCAGTGAGTAATGTGATGTACACCCTCGAGCCAAAATCTTCGATTAGTACAGCAACTGCGAAGAAAAGGTGCGGTAGGTGGATTGCCTATGGCGACCAACAGACGCCTCGCACGCATGTTTGGCTTAGGGTGCATGTCTTTTGGCGCAATTATATTGTCACCAACGTGACAAAGCATACCAGGCAAACCGCCTTCCAAGAAGGACAAGGCACTCGAAGCGTTCGAAACTGGTGCATTTCAAGGTTCAGGAGGTGCCCTGGTTGAGAATCATATGTAATGATGCCAACGCTCATCAGGGCAGAAGTCATCAAAGAAGTCACCCAACTGCAGCAGCGGCTGTGTCTCGGGAAGGACTTCTCTCCAGCAGGGTGAAACAACGTCATGCTCCCCCGCACCCTCCCACCGAGACAGCGTGACGTGTTCTTGCATGGCTTGCTAAACGTCAGAGCCCGTATCATTGCACACTCCCACCAAGACAGAGTGACGTGGTGCAGCTTCCCTGAAGAGCTGCATCTCTCCAGGCACATGGCGTTTGCAGGACCTACTTAGCAAATGATAACATTCTAAAGAAAGCAAACTATTGTCATTCGTTTCTTCTGCTTTAATGATATCGTTAAAGGAAGTGTAAAAATGCGAAAGCCATTATCTGGGAGTATCTACGCCTACAGTAAGACGTTATTGATAAGGGAACTGCAAAAAGCAATCAGATACGAAGGAAAAGAGCGAGTTTTCGATCATTGCGCACTTTAAAAATCATCAGCCTACCATGTGCGCGTCAATCCAGATTAGGCCGAGATCTCCGTATGGTCGTATTGCTGACGCCACGCCACTCCACGTTCCCATTGCACAACTGTGATCTCCTCCCAGTACCAGAAGGTCCTCCTTGTTCTCGACGGCCTTTCCTTGTGTGAAAAGCTAGCTCTCGGCAGGTCTGAAAATAGTTTGTCTGACATGGAAAGGTTGAGTCAACGAAAAGAACTAATTAGAATCATGTAACATTAGTTTTGGGTAAACTTTTCAGGATTGAGCTCCAGCACCACAAGAGTCCCCTACAAAAAACTGATCACTTCATAAAGTTGAAACAGTTATACCCAAAAAAACCGTCCCTTGAACTAGGCGGTGGATGTTTCCCAAAAAAAGACCGTCTCTCATAATAGTATATGCCCCTTCAGTCTTCCATGAGTGCGCCTGTTCTACAGTTGCGCAGTATACTTGTCCATAGATAATAGCCCCTTCTGTTCTTCTACCGTATGCTAGTTCAGCCAGCCAAGAGCGATACGGCTGGGTTGGAAGGATATAGTGTAGAGGAACACACCCCCATACATACCTGTGTAACGCCTGGAAGTGCTGCGAACTGCCGTCCTGTCTCGACTTCTTGAATCAGATTCTTCCAGTGAATAGGAACTCGCAGTTCTGAGAGAAACTTTGAGTTACGTAGAACATTCACAGCATGCTCACAGCCGAGATGCCTGGAAAAGTTTGAACTCAACTTCATGTGTGGTAACAGAGGGTACACTGTTACTCACCTTCCGCCTGCACCATTTGCGCAGCCAATAGCAGTAATAACTTGTCCTAGCCTTAGAGACCTCTTCATAGTGTGATTGTTATGCCTAGAATGCGAGTAATGTAAGAGATCTATGTAAGGGTCGAGAGATGCGAAAATATGAACGAGTTCGAGTTACGGTATATGTATGAATGAATGACATTCGCCGATCACGTTATCGTCCAGCCCCCACGTGGTCACGCCTACACAAGGGGCTATCCTCGATCTAGAAAGTGTCGACGACAGCAGCGCCTTCCCATTGCATGTCGACGAAATGAGCCGTCTGCGATCACGTCGTGTGGACCGTCAAGGACAATTTATCAGAAAAACGGCAACATCAAAAATCATTCTCATCAAGAAACTGTTTACGGAGAATCCGTTACTTCTTTTCGCTTAGTTTCCATTACTTTTCAGATACAGTCGCTCCTCTATGCGTGATAATTCATTCATAGAACAACTGCTCTGCTAAGACAGAAACTGGTAACCAAACCTGAACGCGGCCCCATCTTGTAAAGTACACTTTGCGCTACTTAGGCGGGGCAGTTCATTGTGCAGTGGTTGGGCAGGCAAACCAATTCAGCCCAGCTAAAATATGAGTGCGGGCAAAAAGAATATCACAAAAAAAAACACTAGACGATGTCAAATTATGGCCTATACCAGAGCTCAGCGGAAAATGGACAACCGGCCTGGTATAGAAGCACCATATACAATTTACTTACTCCTCAGATAAAATTGTATTCACATAGTACCACGAAATATGATGTATGCAAAGGATACACGGTTGCAATGAATTACTATATGCAACTTATTTGCTATGTTTATTTTATTCTATTTATTTATTTATCTGAATGCACTCGCTGGTAACTCTGGGAAGTCATGATTGTAAAAACAAAAAATGAAATAACAAATCCATAAAAAGACGACCATTCCATGCTGTTGTACTATTAAATATTAGTAATAGCAATTTTTGTAATATTTGTAATAATGATATACAACGATAATATATTATTATATTACTATTATTATTATTATTATTATTATTATTGTTACTATTATTACTATTATTATTAGCATATGGTAGTTACATTTATATGTGTTAGTAGCACTGTTTCAGACGAATGGCTATAATATTTTCCATTAGCAACAAAATTTATATAATTGATTCAAATTAAATTTTTTATTGATAATTTTTTTGCTTCATAATTCACTGTTCCTGTTCCCCTTGAGTGAAAATCAAGGGGAATAGTGAATTGTTGAGGCAGAAAATAATCAATAAAACTCCATGAAAAAGGCGATTATTTCATGTCTCTTTTATTGATGAATATTATAATTTCAGGATTCAAGGTGAATAAGATCAACATTTCATCAAAACAAATCTTAGAATTTAATGCACTACCTATTTTATGTATATACGTAGTGAGTTGAAACGGACAGTGAATTAAGTGAGACTACAATCTTACTGGGCTATCCTAAAGGTCAGTGTAAGCAAATGTACTGGGAATTCCATGTGGACGAAGAAACCTTTGAAATGGAGAAACGTAAGCTTGCAAGGGCTGCAGGTTCAGTTGAAGCGTTTCTCTGCCACGGCCTTCTGGTGTCCCAACAACAGGAGGAGGTCAGTCGGAAAGAAGGTAAAGTCAACACAAGCACCAGACCACAGAGCAATGGCGCAATAGAAGAATCGAGAACGCTCAAAAATGTTTGTACCGCTAACCGATTAGGCACTTATTTAGCTTGCTACTTATCTCTTTCCGCTCAAGACCGCTCTTCCTGTAGATCCCTTTTTCCAGTTTGAGCGCCGGGGGAAGGCCTTTCTATATCCAAACTCCAGCAGTTTTGTTCAAGCGCTCGGTTGCAGCTGAGAATACGGGAAAATACATGGAAGCATTTGCGCACATACCTTGGTTTTTCTGCCTCTTGTTTTCCTGAGGCCCTGTATCTTCCCTATATTAAGTTATTTTGCTTATATCACGGTGCGCCAATGGCCGAAGGAAATAAAATGACACAGCCACCAGTTTTGTGGCCTACATGCCCGCTTATTCTTCAATGAGTAATGATTGCAGTAAGTAGGGTCGCATTAAAGACAGCGCCCGCGATGGACTTTGGCAGGTCTCAGGGGTCAAATTTGTTAGAACAGGTGGCCAATGAAGCACTAATCAAAAAAGTAGGAAAAAGGTGTGGAAGAGCGTGAAATAAGACCCTACGAAATTTAAGGCATGTGGACGAGTTTCGCAGACCTTTGGTGAGTTCTCCAATACACGTCGCCGGCTCGGAACTCCAGAAACTTAGCGTTTATCAATGCCAGCAAGCACTGATAACTGTTAACCAGTCGGGGCGGGATTAACAGGGAAGGAGGCGTCAGCTCAGCCTTGTTGACTCCGCCCTCGTCAATCAATACATTTCGAGCCGCAAGAGTGGGATATCCGCTATGGTTGCGAACTCCGCGTTCGTTTTCATTGGAGGGTTTTTCACTTTGGTTGATCGCGGACGCTGCCTTTAAATCAGGACTGAGTACGGCACAGAGATTTTCAATGGACGCGTCAAAATTAAAACCTAAGTTGAATAATTTGGGATCGGCTCAATTTTAACAGAAGGTTTATTGGTTTTACACGTTAACAGGCAATGGTTTATTGAATGCTATATTCTTTTCTGATAACATTATTGAAAGGAAGAGGTGGTATACTGGCAACTGGCACGCGCACGTCTGGGAATCAAATCCTGGATCGACTCCCGCCCAGGCCAACCAAGCCTTCTACCCTCCGGGGACGGTGAATTGGTACCAGATTCGTCTGGGAGGATAAACACTGACTTGTACATCGGCTGGCCACCGCAAGTCATTGTATAGGCCACATCGCATTCAATAAGCCACTACGATTCTGAATGGAAGTAGAATGCGTGCCGCATCCCACAAAGGATTGATCAACGGCGAAGACTTTATAATTCAAACTCTTAGCATGATTGAAAAGTGATGGGCTACATATTGGTGATATTTGATCTTCAAGTAGCTCTTCAGTTGTGAAGGCAGTTGAGTGTGACCGTACGGAAATGACTGTTTCGCAACTTGTCCCTTGCGTTACCAATGATATGGCAATGTCATTCCTGCGCGGTTCACGAACTAGTCGTTTCTATGTTTAGAATTGCGATAATGATGTATCAATCCATTAATCATTCACCACTTGTACGTCATACTCGCTCTCTCTGAACTTTCGATATTCGGCTACAGTAATCTCTCAAATATTGACGGCATAATTAACGGTATAGAACGAGCAGAACAATGAGAGAGTTAAGTAAGAAATTTAGACATGAATTCGTTAAACCAATATTTGAAACGGTTTAGATGTTAGAACAGCGTTTTGTCACATGCATTATATAATGTAGGCGTCATATTTGAAATTCTATAGAATCATTGTCTCTCGATCGATCGGGTCTTTCGGGCTTTTTCGAAATAAAGTTTTTTGTGTATCACATTGTCATTGAACGTTCAAACCGCCATGGCAACAGAATATTCAGACAGAATCCGTTGGGCTCATCGCTATTCTGGAGAATGAGATTTGAGGATTGAGAGGCGATTGATTTTTTCACTTTTTGAATTTTTTGTGGCGGATTTGGGAAGATCTAGAAGTTTACTTCTTTGAAAATCCATTCAAGAAGGTCAGGTTTGTGAAAGAAAAAAAAATCAAAAAAGGTTATTACCTTCAGACGGTCCACCACATTCACCTTCAATGTTAAATAGCCGAGTTATTTTAATATTATGTTAATACTGTTGCTAATATTTGATTTGCAAATCACAACTGCAGTTGTAACTGTGCCAGCAGAGAACTCAGTAAGCTAACAGTTAATCATTGTTACAAGAACGAGTTCCTTCCTAAATTGCTCCCAATACACTTTCTCTAGTGAGGACGTTAACTAGCGTCTGATTGTATTCGGACAAACCCAGCATGAACCCTGTTACAAATTTTGTCCAGCGCTTTCAGTACGTTATGTACTGCTCGTTCATGTGCTCTTGTGTCTTGTCTTATTTATTCCTCTAAGGCCTCGTAGCTCAGACCGTCACATTCAGAAAGGAAGATCCATAACCGGGAGATTCCAAAAATTCTGAGCTGGGGCTATTCAAAATAAGGATTTGAGAGTACAAGTTTGCGGTCGAGTAATGACCTTCAGAATTTATGGACCCAAAAAAGGGGATGCCACGCAAGCATCTTGTTTAGTTTTCATCTGAAAAAAGGAAACTATTCTACTTCTATGAACCGCTCCCCCTTTTGTAATGGTAAAGATAAATTCAATCAATTTCAGTCATTTG